TATTACATTATCACTTTTACTACGGCGACGGGGTGTGCCCACCGTTGCCACTAATTTGCTTTATTGAGCTGATAGATGAGTGTTACCGCTGACGGCTAGTGTTGGTGACGACTCGAGTAACTATTAGATTTATCATAGAGAGTAATAAGACAACCTTAAAATATATACATAAAGGATAAAGGATAAAGCACTCGGCGTTGATCAATCCCTGAGGGATGTGCCATGCATTCGAGTTCAATTTTTAACTTCGTTTGAAGTGATTTAATGCATATCTGGCCTTTACAATGACTCGCGGTGGCCTTCAGCTTAACCGAGTCAGTGCTATCCTCCCAGACAAGTCTGAGACCTATCTGGTACCATACCGCCCCCGGAGGGGTGGATGGCTTGGTGGGCCATGAGCGCCAGATCGAACCATTGACTTCGTGTGCGACGCAGAGCACCTCTAACCACTGCGTCACATGCGCTCCAAAGATATGCATAAGTACAATAATAATACAATAAGAACATAGTAATGATAACGACGCATGGCTGTATAACTACGATAATACTGCAATATGACTAATGCGTAGTGATAGAGTGGAACGATATAGACTGAGGATTGATTAGTGAGTGAAGTGAACTGATAATGTGAGCTAAGATTCCGCGGCTTGACTAGGACGGTAGACCTCGGGATGCAGTTATGCTTACCCCGAGCAGGGCCTAAACACCAAGGGTGGGAGCCAGCGGGTGATTACCTAGGTAGGAATGCTTCTTGGGGTCTATATACATGGACTTGAGCCATCCCCGCTGGCGAGCCAAACAGAACCCAAAGGACTTGGTCCACCGCCGTAGCCGCAAGCTCCGCTCATAATGTATGAGCAGCGCAAATAGACACGAACAATAGATTCAATGGACAGGGTGGTCCTCAACCACTTGATACACAGCAGCGAGACCAGAATCAGAGATTCGGAGTCAGAACAGAGGCGGAGAACCAAAGGCAAGAAAGGTAGTGGGGTAAGGCAAGGAGACACACGACCGACCAGACCGACCAGGACGCACCACGACTCCATACTGACCGCCGTCCCGCTGGTGTTCCACGCAAACGGTTGCTACATTCACTTTCATAATCATTACCATCACTATCATCATTGTCACTATTATTATTATAACTATCATTATAAGTAGTGTTATAACTATGACTATCATTATCACTACCACAGTTATCATTAATGTTATCAGTCTCATTATCAGTGTCATTACCAATATCACGAATATCATTATCATTAGCATTGTCATTATCACTGCCAATATCATTGTCACTATCATTATTACTATCGCACTCATTAATATTATCCTTATCACCATCATTCAATATCACTACCATCATTATCATTAGCATTGTCACTAACATGCCATTATCATTATCAACTCATTACCACTTTCACTATCTTTATCACTATTACTATCATCGATGTCAACCATCATTATCACTTTAATTGTCGTTATCATTATCACTATCATCATCACTTTCGTTATCATTATCACTTTCACTGCCATCATCATTATCATTACATCATCATTATCGCTCTCACTGTCATTAATAGCATCATTATCAATATTATTACTGTCACTATCATTCTCACTACCATCATTATCATTAAAAATATCACTATCATTATCATTACCACTTCTATTATCATTATCTAAAACATTGCCATGAATATCACTACCATCATTATGACTATTACCGCTATCACTACTACTATCACTATCATTAATATTATCACTATCACTGTCATTATCTCTATCATCATTCTCATTGACATTACCACTAACATTACCATTATACCATCATCATAATTATCACTTTTATTCTTGCTCTGAAGAAGGCGAACTGCCGAAACGTCAGCTATCGAATAAAGTTTAATGTAACACCTCGTGTTCTGCTCAAAGAAGAAAATCAAGAATCATACTGAAGCATGCCGAGGTTAATAGACAGTCGGTCTTGGGAACTATCACTTTTATTATCATTACCACTACCACTGTCATAAATTTCATTGCCATCATTATTGCTAACATCATTATCACTTTCATTGTCATTATCACTATTATTGTCGCTATCACTTTCGGTACCATTATCACTTTCACTATAATTATCATTATCACTACCATCATGAACATCACTACCATTATTATTAACACTATCACTACCATTAATATTAACACTATCACTGTCATTACCACTACCAGCGATATCATTAACTTTACCACTATTATTATCACTAGCTATAATTATCATTATCACTAAAATTATCAATATCACAATCAGCATTGAATGAAGGTAAGGTTGAATTTACCAACTACAAGTTCGAGTGTCGGTCACTGCAATGTCAAGCACTGTTTATTTGTCCCTATCAGACCTTACAGTTGATGCTCAAAACAGTGGCAATTAATATTACTAGCATAATCATTATCATTATCGTAATCATTATCACTATCATCATGGTTATCATTTGGCGATGTAGTTTCTTCGTTGAAACGTTGAGAAATGCAGATGAAATATGAAAGATTCATATGTCCTTTTTACTAAGGTCATCTTTGTAGAGCTCCTTCAACGGAATTCCATCACTTCCTAATGAAAATGTTCCCTTAGAACCTGAATTCGTCTTCTCGCATCCATCATGCTGTCTGGTCTCTGCCTTGTCACAAAATGTGACGCCTTTCTCACGGGGCGTGACTCCACCATTGCAATAGCTGAGATCTGATATCGCGCGGTATGGAACAAATGCCCCACATGGTCCTCAAGGGGTTAACACAATCGCATTTAGTCGTATTTTGTTAGTGACTATGTGTATAAGTCTATGCAAATTCATTTGTTTTCCAGAAATATTGCTTTGTCTAAAATTTATCACTATAAGAGCAATCAAAAAGTAACTTTGAACAATTGATAACAGATCACAAAGGATTAAATTTGATTTACACAGCTTCTCCATCCTCAGCTCATCGGTGTGGGCACTTTCTTCTGTGATTATATGCTTTATCTGCGCGTTTGGATGTCACCTCCGCGACGATGGACTCATCATTATTATGCACGGGTGGGTTTTGATCCTTAAAAAAATCAAGAGATGGTATGACGCTTCAAGATGTATCAATGATATGAAAAGACTTTTAATTTGAGCCACCCGCACAAAAAGAATACTCCGTGAAAGAAATAAAGAAAAAGATATACTAACCTTTTCAAATCTTTCTTGAGCGTATGTGGCCTTAACCGACGACTACGACGCTCCTCTTCGCTTGCTTTGCCAACGGCAAGTCATCTTCTGAATGTGCTAGTATCCTCCTAACCCTCATCTTCCTCGGAGCGCCTTGCGTCGGCTAAATGTAAAATATCATAACTTCTCCACATGCTAACATTAAGTGTGTTAGCAGATGAGAGTAATTAAACAACCCAACAGAGGAAAATCAAAAAGATGTGCATGAAAAGGAAACCTGGTTGGTTAAGCTGTTAGGTTCGACCTCTACCTCGGCGACATCGACCTTAGCGCAATTGAGCAATACAAATTTTGAAAACCTATCAGAATCACCGAAAAGATGTTCCAACACTGAATTGAGTTACCACTAAGAAAAAATTAAGAATTTACCCTTCCTCACTTCCCGTCGACGGTTCGATGGATCTGATTCCTCAGTCAGACAGCACGCGGAACCATATAGTTGAGACCCAAACAATATCTTTCTAACCAGCGCAACTAACCTCACTGTTTCTTCTAATGTCGGCATACAGTTGCCTCCTCCTGTCAAAGGAAAATGGCACTGCGACAGTAAACCGTTGAGGTGCCGTATCTCCCTAAAGTAATCTGCTCTTTATGCAAGAAGAACTTCTTTACATTCCAAGAAAAATTTGAAGTTCTGAGATGTTTGGCGAAGGTTTCAATATCAGGAAATTAATGTAGAGTAGTGTGCAAAAACATTTGCAGCAGGTGGGACTCGAACCCACATTTCATCCTATTACGGGTACGCAAGCTGAAGCGTCGGTAGTGCAACGGTTCAGCACGCGTCCCCGGATAGGGTGAAATGTAGGTTCGAATCTCACCTGACGCAAATGTTTATGCACACCACTGTGCATTATTGGGTATATTTTAACATTACACCA